AATAGTACATCCATCCATACATTAACCACATCATGCTCAAACCTTCAATTAGCATAATCATCATATCTCACTTAGACAATTCAGGAAAAATCACTACAATATACCATGGGATAGTCACTTCTTCATTTAGCATCTATTCCAACATACTTACACAATATTACTATACTTTCCAAAGATAAAACCACTTTCAATACAACACTACACCACGTGGGACTAATCATATGCTATTACATAGACCCAATACGACAAGGGCAATTCATACATTTCTACGTGTAACACCCTAATTTTTATTTCCTAAGTATGGTGAAAATTCTAGAAATATGGGGTATATTGGGTGTTTCTCACTTGAGCGAGAGGCTTAGTATCTGCTCCCAGGATTTCCTGGGATTCTCGCCTGGGTGAGATATGGCTCGCTTGGGCGAGAGAGGGAGGTGTGGGCATTGGAGGATTCTCGCTTGAGCGAGAATCCCTCGCTTGAGCGAGAGCGTTAGTGTTGAGTTTTTAAAATAGGCGGGATAATCTCGCTTGAGCAGGAATTGGCTCGCTTGAGCGAGAACCCGACGATTCAACTTTAAAATAGAAACCCCAAACACTTTTACGGTTAGAACTTTGGAGAGAATAGAGAAAAGGGAGCATTTTCAAGAGAAAGGGTTCGTGAGAATCATCTAGATGCTTGAGAAGAGGTAAATCTCTTGATTCTAACTCTTTCTCCCTTTCAAACTTGTTTTGGGTGAATGGGATCTCTTCCCAATTTGTGAGAAACCATGGAAACTCTTCCTTTTGAGTTGTGGTTCGTTGTATCTAGGATTAAACCGTGGGGATGAGGAAAGATCCTAAGGTTGGAGGCGGTGTCGGAGGAACTTGCAAAGTTACCATGGACCAAACCCAACACTCACCAAGGTAAGGATAAGCATTTATTCCGAGTTATGAAATATGAGATGTACGGTTATATGTGGATGACTCGGAAGGATTAAGATGTGGGAAGTGGTATTGAAATTGAATGTCTTGCCCAAGTGGTATTGAAATTGTGTCACGACCCAAATTCTACCCTTGATATTTTTTCTTTTATTTTAATCCTTTATGCTTAATTTCCCATGTTATACCATGCATACTTTTCTTCTAGTCTATGAATCGTCCATTTCTTTAGTTATCCAATCGCGCTAAACATACAATTTTAATTTCATTCTTTGACTACCCTTAATTGTAGAAAAACATAATTCGCATATATATTTCATGTTCATTGGCTCTAAGGAATATTTCATGTTCATTGGCAAGAAATAAGCAGACTTAGTCAAGCTGTCCACTATTACCCATATCGAGTCGTACCTTCTTTGAGTCTTCGGGAAACCCGATACAAAATCCATGGAGATACTATCCCTCTTCCAAACGGGAACCTCTAGTGACTATAACTCTCCCGCTGACCTCTAATGTTCAATCTTGGCTTTCTGACAGATGAGACAACTCACTACGTACAACGCTATATCCTTTTTCAACCCTGACCACCAAAACAGCTTTTTTAGATCTTGGTACATTTTTGTAGTGACCGGGTGGAAAGTCATTTTACTCTTGTGTGACTCCTCCAGAATACTCTTTCGTAATTCTGCATCATAAGGTACACACACCCTTCCCTTGTATCGCAACATTCCACTAGAGTCCGACTCAAAAGTAGTCTTTTTTTCGCTCGTCATCAAATCTTGTTTGATCTTCAGTTCCCTATCCTCAACTTCCATTATATAGATTTTGTCGAACAACTCATTTGTCACCTTAAGCATTCCAAAAATCATACTATGGGTTCTCATTTGAACTGTCGGGTTCTTATCCCTGAACTCCTCAATTAGTTTTCGTTCATGCACCATTAAAGCCGACATATGTAAGGATATCCGACTTAAAGCATCAGCCACCACATTAGCTTTTCCTAGGTGGTATTGTAGTCCAAAATCATAATTCTTAAGGAATTCCATCCACCTACTTTGTCTCATGTTCAGTTCCTTTTGATCAAACAAATACTTCAAACTCTTGTGGTCACTGTACACTTCAAATCTTACACAATACAGATGGTGTCTCCAGATTTTCACTACAAAGACCACTACGGCTAGTTCCAAATCATGCATAGGGTAGTTTTGCTCATGCGTTCTTAACTGTCGTGAAGCTTAGGCAACAACCTTCCCATCTTGCATCAGAACACAACCCAAATATTTTTTAGAAGCATCACAGTAAACACTGAAATCGGGATCCGTACAAGGAAGGACCAACACTGGGGTCGCAGTCAACCTCCGCTTCAACTCTTGAAAACTTTCTTCATAACAGATTGTCCACACATACGGTTCCCCTTTTCTGGTAAGCTTAGTTAGAGGTAATGCCAACTTCGAAAACTCATCTATGAACTACCGATAATAACCGGCCAAACCTAAAAAACTCCTTATCTTAGTAATTGACTTGGGTACTGCCCATTCTATTACTGCCTCGACTTTAGAAGTGTCAACTGCTACCCCTTCCCTGGATATCACATGTCCAAGGAAGTTCACAGATTCCAGCCTGAAGTCACATTTAGACAACTTCGCATATAATTGACTGCTCTTGTAGTAAACTAGAATGTCATCAATAAATACCACTACAATGAAACAAAATACGGATGGAAAATACAATTCATGTAGTCGGTAAATATTGTTGGAGCATTCATCACACCAAAAGGCATTACCAAATACTCATAATGCCCATACATCTTTCTAAAAGTAGTTTTAGGGATATCATCCGACTTAACTCGAAGTTGGTGATAACCCGACCGAAGGTCAATCTTTGAAAACACAACCGCTCCTCTCAACTGATCCATCAGGTCATCAATCCTGGGCAACAGATACTTTTTCTTGATAGTGGCCTTTTTCAACTGCCTGTAATCGGTGCACAACCTCATACTCCCATCCTTCTTCTTAACCAATAAAACTGATGCACCCCACGGTGATACAATAGGGTGAATGAATTTCTTTGCCAACAAACCCTCAACCTTTTTTTTCAATTCAACCAGTTCTAACGGTGCCATCCTATAAGGAGCTATAAAGATGGGTCCCATTCCAAGTACCAAGTCAATGGAGAATTCAACCTCTCTGACTGGGGGAAATTCCGGAATATCATCAGGAAATACCTTAGGGAACTCACGGACTATCGGAATATTATCAATGTTGGGTTGCTCAGTACCCTCCAGTGATGCCAACAGCACAAACACTGATTCCCCTTCCTTAAGGGAAGTCCTGACTCCCTTAGCCGACATTGGCTCCATACAACTAACTCGATCAGAGATCTCACATAGATCTCTAAACACCACAGTCTTATCAGCATAATTTAGCATAACATGATTTGCTGATAACCAGTCCATTCCCAGAATTAAATCTAACTAGGACAGCGGTAAGCAGATTAAATCCACGGTAAATGTTGTACCATTTACCAATACCAAACACTTGGACACAAACGTCGATACTACCACCAACACACTAGTTGGGGTGGATACGACCAAGTTGAAAGGCAACGACTCTGTGTGCAATTTCAGTCGGTCTACACATTCAACAGATACAAAGGAGTGTGTCGCTCCCATATCAAACAACACTAAAAGAGGAATATATGCCACCATACAATTACCTTTGATCAGGCCATCCACATATGATGCCTCTGCACCACTCATGGTAAACACTCTGCCGGTGGATCGAGGTCGTTCAGCCCTCACTGCATTCACACTCTGCCGTAATTAGGACAAAACCTCTTCATAAGCCTCGTCTCCTTGTAGTGAAAGCAGCTAAGTGTCGTTCCGGGGCACATATCACCGACATGAATTCGGCCTCATTTACTGCATATGGATGGAGAGTTTAACTATGACCCTCCCACATTGACAAGAGTCCTCGGCCCATGCGAAGTATATCCCCGGTTACTACTGGGTTGAGAGTAAGGCTTCTGTTCCTCTTGAAACACCTTACCTTTGCCATTTCCGTGCATACAGTTCCTTTGAGGCCCAAAGTTCTTGGGAGGAAATGACTTGGGTGTCGCCACCTCATCCGCCTTCATGTCATCCTCATACATCCTACACTTGTTGACCAATGTGGGGAAGTCAGAGATTTCTTGATGTCCAAACATCATTTTCAACTTAGGCTTCAAACCCGATTCAAACTTAGAGTGTAACACCCCAAATTTATCCTCCTTGAAATTAGGTAACAATCCTGAAGAATGGGGCATACTGCCAGATTCTCGCTTGAGCGAGAGGATCTCGCCCAAGCGAGAGGATCAGTGTTTTGAATTTCAAAATTTTGCGAGTCTCGCCCAAGCGAGGAATGGGTCGCTTGGTGAGAGAAAGCTTGGGCAGGCTGTGAGATTCCCGCTTGAGCGAGAGAATCTCGCCCAGGCGAGAGAATCTCGCCCAGGCGAAAGAGCTCGTGTTTGGAAGATTAAAATATCGTGGGTTTCTCGCCCAAGTGAGATATTCTCGCCCGAGCGAGAGTTCCCAACTATAAAAGAAAATGTGAACACTCAATTTTGTCCGGCCTATATTCCAAAAAAGTAATAATAAGGCATCTGAGGAATTTACTACCTCGTAGATACAAGATTGCTAACCTTCAGTGACAAGAATTTGGATTGACCAAATACTGGGATACATACATAGGTGGGGGTAACTTTTGTGGTGGGGCAGCCTTTGTGCATTCTAGTTTGATTCCACCAATCTTTTTTTACATTGATTTGTTGTTTCTCTTCTTTTTGTTGGGGTGCTATATAATATATTCGCATGAAAGAGTGAGAGGAAATGATAACATAGTTCTGTAGCATTTGCTGCATGACAGGAAGCCTGTATTCAATTGTATTCAATGGTAATACATATTCTCCTAAATAGGACTATACACTTGTCTCACTTTTTCAAAAGCAGATTACATTACATACATAGGCTTATGAAGTAATAGAACAACAAAGTGCAGGAATTCTTAATCCAGCAAAACAATCATTCCTAACAGTGTTCTACGGCATCCAGAGTAACTAATAAAATGGCAAAACTCAAAAGGAAAAAACAGTGATTGACGTTATTGTCTATTTGACTAACAAAAGTAAAAGACAAACTTTTGTCCAGCGAAGGCAAACAAGGTCCGTTGTCGAGTAGAAAGGGTGGAGATGCAATCATAAATTCATTCACCACTCAAATTATTGAGCCACTCACTCTTCATCGGAAGCTGCTGGAGTTTCGACCCATCTGAGCAGAGGATTGTGACGCACGCTAGCAAAAGGCACATAACGTAGCGGTCTTTCTAAAACACTTAGTACAATGCAGTCTTGAGACTATATTAGATGCTGCATGGGATTGGCATGGCACCAACCAAGTCTTCGCCAATAGCCTCACATGCCTTGTCCAAAGTAGAACCCACATGAACTTACAAAAGAAAATGTGCTCTTTAGCCGGAAGACACAGAATGTATTTAAATAGTCGAATGAAGTGCACAACCTATAAATTCCGGCAACGACCTCAAATCAACTAGGCCAAAAAGAGCATCATTCAACTTCCCTTCCCTGCAAACAATGATACTTGTTAGACTATAATAAAAGGAAATCAAGAGAAAGGAAAGCGACGGAGAAAGATTGAACAAGATGGGTCCTGCACCTAACATTGGAGTTGATCATACACCCGTAAAGGAAGATTTGAAGCTAATTAATCTCTCTAAACCAACCAAGGGGCAGCAGTGAACACAATTCTGAAAAATGTCAAAATCAATAGTTTTCAGTTACAATCAGAATCATTAAGCGGCATTGGTAGATAATCTTGAATGCAAAAATCAGAAACAACAAGCATTAAGATGTCAATTATGAGCAGGCTACAAATCAAAGTAATCAAGACATTAAAGAGGTGGTCACAAGGGGTCATGGCTGTTATGAGTAGGCTGCAAATCAAACTTTGAAATTACTATCCTATTTCAGTTGCAAATTGCAATGATGGAGAGCCTTTAACGCATTAAAATAGAATTCATTTCCCCTACAATTACACATTCATACATTCAGAAAGATAACAATTGGCAACTCAAAGGGATTTTTACAAGTTAACTGAAGAAACTCATATGGGATATAAAGGACCAAAGCAATCAGAGAGCAAAGATATACCACATTGACATTTACCAACAACCAGAGCTTCCAGAGAACTCTTATCTTCCTCACCCAGCCATTACTCACATATCGCGAATCAGAAAAAAACACAGAACAATCCAAAGAAACCATACTCACAGCTATCTACCTTGATATCCCACATATCACACATCATATCCAATAATCCAGGAACAACAGACAGACATTACACAAAAAGGGTCATACATATTGAAAAAAAAACAACCAAAAAGAGAGGGTTAACCTCCAAAAGGGCTAAAGGTATACATTCAGGACGAATCAAAGCAAGCGAAGAGGGACTTCCAGTCAGATTAAAGTCAGACAGAGGTGAATCGTGCATTTGAAAGGTAAATCATTGGTAAGGCAGTCACATAGCCATATATAAAAAAAAACCTACACAGAAGTATGTTTACAAATCGTGCATCATCTTTCGGTTGATTTCTAACTTTTAACTAAAAAACAAAATGTAGAGAGGTAAAATAGAGGGTTGAGAGATCACCCCTTACTCAAATAGGGGTTCTGTGTAGAACCTACGTCGACACCCTTCGAATTATTACCCCCAATGGCGGTTCTGGATGGAAAAGGGTGGCTATGGTGAGGCACTATCATTTTCACGGTTTAGGGAAGAAAAATAGAAAAGAGAACAATGGAGAATAAGGTTAGGCATACCTTTCGAAGCATAAACCGAGGTAGAAGAAAACCGAATGGAGAAGAGGAGCCACCACCGTGGATGGCGGCTCATTGAAAGGAGGACGACCTTACCCCTTACCAGTCACCGCAAACCGCCTCCGCCACTGTCGGAGGAAAACGGGAGAGGAACCGCGATTTGCTCCTCGGCCCCGTCTTCTCACATTCGCCGCCTCCATTCTCTCGTCTTCTCACTTCTCCTCTCCCATGCCATCCAAGTCTCATAAGTCAAAAATGACAAACCTAAATCTAACCCCTCCCCCTTCAATCCGTTTTCTTAGCTGGGCCTAACCCGAGCCCAGTAAATTTTTTTTGTTTGTTTGTTTGTTCTGTTTATGTCTTCCTTTGTATTATTTATTTGTTTTTTTTTATTATACCAAATGAGTAATCTTATTTAATCAAAGAGGTTCTATTAAATTCTAATAATTATATGTTATTAGACAAATCAGTTTATAGCACAATAATATATTTTAAAACTATTTCAAATCTCTGAAAGATAGGATGCGGCGCCGACATTAGTCTTGCTACTTCATCTATCTTAAAGGGGAATAATTCCAATAATATATTTTAAAACTATTTCCAAATCTCTTTAAGATATGATGCGGCGCGGGCATTAGTCTTGCTACTTCATCTATCTTAAAGGTGAATAATTTTAAAACTATTTCAAATCTCTGTAAGATAGGATGCGGCGCGAGCATTATTCTTGCTACTTCATCTATCTTAAAGGGGAATAATTCCAATAATATATTTTAAAACTATTTCCAAATCTCTTTAAGATATGATGCGGCGCGGGCATTAGTCTTGCTACTTCATCTATCTTAAAGGGGAATAATTTTAATAACATATTTTTAAACTATTTCAAATCTCTTTAAGATATGATGCGGCGCGGGCATTAGTCTTGCTACTTCATCTATCTTAAAGGTGAATAATTTCAATAATATATTTTAAAACTATTTCAAATCTCTTTAAGATATGATGCGGCGCGGGCATTATTAGTCTTGCTACTTCACCTATCTTAAAGGTGAATAATTTCAATAATATATTTTAAAACTATTTCAAATCTCTTTAAGATATGATGCGGCGCGGGCATTAGTCTTGCTACTTCATCTATCTTAAAGGTGAATAATTTCAATAATATATTTTAAAACTATTTCAAATCTCTTTAAGATATGATGCGGCGCGGGCATTAGTCTTGCTACTTCATCTACCTTAAAGGTGAATAAATTTCAATAATATATTTTAAACCACTTCAAAATATTCCTTGAGATTTGATGCGGCGCGGGCATTAGTCTTGCTACTTCATCTATCTTAAAAATAAATAAATTTCAAACAATTCATTTCAATTATTTCAAAAAAATAATATATATCTTAAAGATAAATAAATTTCAACACAGTAGTTTAATTACTTTCAAAATCTCTTTAAGATTTGATATGGTGCGGACATTAGTTTCTGCTGCTTCATCTTTTCTTAAAGAGAATACAATTTACATCAACTTTTTCAAACAAACTAAACCAACACCAATTAATTTTCAAACCAGAACTACGTAGCCTTGATTTCCCTATTGCAGCTAGGGATACGTAGGAGCAAGTTGAATTCTTGTCAGGTACAACAATAAAAAATAAAACATTTTGTTTTTATTTACTGAATTTTAATAAATAATTTTAAGGGTATAAAAGTCCATGTTATTAGCGAGGGTACCGTTTTAATACGGGCGGACGGGGTGCTAACACCTTCCCCGATTCGTAATCGACTCCCGAGCTCAGAATCTCTGTTAAATGACCAAATTATCCTAATCGGGCGTAATTTAGAGTTTTCTACGTTTTAACCGCAAAAAACGTAGTGGCGACTCCAAAATAATTGGAAGAGGTAGAAATCGAGTTCACCTCTCCCTAAGTCGCATGACCGGTCTTCCAACCGAAAATTAGGTCGCGACAAAAAAGAAAGGGTTTCACAAACCCTAATCTTCATTTTCTTTTCTCCCCTTTCACTCCCAACGGCGACTCCTCATGGATTTCGACTCTTTCCTCCACCAAACCTCAAAAACACATCAAATCCTCTTCCTTTTGCTTCTTAATGGAACATTGGAGAGCATTGGAGATGAATAAACAACAATGAAGGTTGAAGGAGATGAGGCAAGATGGAGCTCTTTGCGAATCCATGGAGCTTACGCAACCTAAGGTGAGGGAGAAGACCATTGTGGTCTTAGAGTATTTCATTAGAGTTATCATCTCTGATTTCCCTCAAGAATTGGAGCACATTAACAGATAGAAACTCTCTTGGGATTTTGTGGTCCAAGTGAGAGTCTTTATTTTACATAAGGATGTATTAGCCGTAAAAGTGGAGACATATGTGTGGAGAAAACCGTTTATGAATGTACAACGCCATATGCCCCTTTATGGTAATACACCGTCATTAAAGATGGTTCTAACGTTAATGTGTATATGATGAGTGATATTTTATGTCTGGCTTGTTTATGAATAATGGTTGATTTATTATAAACACATATGGGTGTGTTTGTAATAAGGATTGTGATATGTGTGTTTAATGACAAAAGTAGAAATTGTTATGTTGTGTGATAATGATTGAGTATGAGTTATGTATGGGCATAAATATAAATGAGTATGTTTATCAAAATGAGTATGTTGTGGGTTGTTGATTGTTATAAACATATATGGGTGTGTTTGTAACAATGAATGTGTGATGAGTTATTAAGGTGTTAAAATGAGATGGGTATGTTGGTAATAAGAATTGTTTGAATGAGTAGTTGATTTGTAAAGGTGGAGATGAGTATGTTTATCGAAGTGAATATGTTGTGAATCACTTCATTGTTATAAATATGTATGGATATGTTGTGATAATGAAGGTGTTGTGTGTGATTCCATGATGTTGGAATGATGTGATGCCTTGCGTTTATTGGTGTATGACATTGAGTTGATATTTTGGGCTATGACGAACATGTGATGGAGAAATAACTAGACCAGCCCGATGTGGTATGGAGAAATAACTAGACCTGCCCGATGTGGTAGGGAGAAATAACTAGACCTGCCCGATGTGGTATGGAGAAATAACAAGACCTGCCCGATGTGGTATGGAGAAATAACTAGACCTACCCGATGTGGTATGGAGAAATACTAGACCTTCCCGATGTGGTATGGAGAAATAACAAGACATGCCCGATGTGGTATGGAGAAATAACTAGAACTGCCCGATGTGGTATGGAGAAATAACTAGACCTGCCCGATGTGGTATAGAGAAATAATTAGACCTGCCCGATGTGGTATGGAGAAATAACTAGACCTGCCGATGTGGTATAGAGAAATAACTAGACCTTCCCGTTGTGGTATGGAGAAATAACTAGACCTGCCCGATGTGGTATGGAGAAATAACTAGACCTGCCCAATGTGGTATGGAGAAATAACTAGACCTGCCCGATGTGGTATGGGGAATGACTAGACCTGCCCAATGTGGTATGGAGAATTAACTAGACCTGCCTGTTGTGGTATGGGGATTACTCGACCTGCCCGATGTGGTATGGGGAATTACTCGACCTGCTCGATCTGGTATGGGTATTACTCGACCTGCCCGATGTGGTGTGAGGATTATTGGTACGGTGCAGAATTGTTGAAAGAGATCAAGGGTAAATTTCTACGGAATGTGAATGATGTGAAAAGTGTATACTTGGAATGAAAATCATATGCATGACATAGGATATATATTATGGGATATATATCTTATAGGGTGAATATGAATGATGAGAAATGAGTATGTTTGGATGAATAAAATATGCACACTATAGAACTCATATAGTATGGGATATGTGTATTATAGGGTGAATATG